ATCCACTTTTCTAATTGTTTCTGCAACATAAGTGACTACACTTACATCTCTCGTAATATGCATAATATATGCTCATTTATCTGGCTTCTGTTGGTTTAGATAGCAAACGTGATGACTGAATGAAACTAGATTTTTCATCCACCATATTTTTATGATGTAACCTTAATAATTCACAAAAATGGAGTCCTGCTTAATATTTAAACGGAAACTTCTGCAGTTTCCCTTTTAGCTGCCTTGTTTACTTTTGCCACGTCATTTAGAGAACCGCGTGTATTTCATGTGAGTTTGCCCTACCCTTCTAATTTTATCCTGTCAATGCATTGAGTTTATTCACTGTTTAATAAATTAAATCTATGGTTTGAATTTCAGCATTCATTAACTATGGTCAGTTAATGGTCCAAATCACTGGTTTCTTACTAAATCTGAAACCTCTTCTTACAGTGAAAGAAAATGGAATCATTTCTGCGAAGAATCCGCCAACTTTTGTTGTGACCTCATGATGCTGTCCTGATTATAGCTATGCCAAGCGCTACCGTTTCTGAACCTTGTGATTGATTCAACCAATGGATAATTAAGAATTCCTAATTATGTTCCAATTCCCATATTTCATTGTTTACTTCGCAAACCAGAGAACTTACATAAAGTTACATAACACTCGTTTCTGGACAGTCGTTACTGATGTGAGCAGTCATTGATTTACCTTATTAGCCTTAATTAGAGTAATATTTTTCCTATGGGATTACGCGCGGTTGTCTACTCACAGAAAGGACAGGTGATATTAGATTTCAGTCAGTATGAATGGTCAGTGCTCTGATAAATAATCATAATGAACACCGCTTTCAAAAGGGTCATGAGAAAAATAATTTATTAAACTGATGCCATGGACTAAATTCAGCAATAGACCAAGGTGCCATGGGGTAGCTAGCCCGTGGTAGCTTTCCATTTCCATCGTTAATCCCAAATTTTTGATGCAGGATTTCCACAGCATAAGCACATTGCCCCGTTGTTTCCAATCGACTGAGGAAAACACTGAAAAGATTGGAACATCACCAGTCCGGTTCCAGTTGTCTAATGTCATTAATAACAATTTATTCTTTTCTTGCAAGTAAAACTCTTTTTCACAAGGAAGATATATGTGACGGAAAATTTTGATTGAGCTCTCTTCATGGATAAATACCCATGGTGTCTAAATTTGAATTTAAAACA